GCCGGCTGATGACAGCCAGCACATATGGCAAGCACTGCACGCCATGGTTGCGTTTGAAATCCGGGGTGAAATGTGCCACGTCCTGCCGGAGCCAAACCCCAAGGATCGACGCTTCCCGTTCTACTGGTGCTACTCGTTCAACAACACGTCCAATCTGCGTTTGCTGCTGGTGCTTCTCTTCTGCTACGTGGCTAAGCTGGACCCATGGCGTAAGCTGGACAAAGCACGGCTGAACTCAGGGTCAACGTGCCCTGAAGAAGCCGTTGATCCCAGCACAAAGTTCATGATCACATCTCTGGAGGAAACGATACGACAAAGATACGAGGGCGCCCTGGCTAGACTGGCTACTGCTCAGCTTCTGGCTCAGACTCGGTCTGTGAAGGGAACTAGGCGATTGCGTAACCCCAGCCGCAGGGAAATCACCCGTTCAACAACGCCAACTCCCGGACGAGAATCACCTGTGGGTACCATAGCGCTCTGTGGGAAAGAGCCTCAGACAGCTGCTTCTGGCAAAAGTATCCCTGACATGACGGTGATCAACATGCAAAGTGCTGAGGACAGACCAGGCGTACCAGCCGAAAGGGTGCCAGCCAAAAGCGAATCCCTCGTCCAGAAACGATTGCAAGTGGAAAAGGATGACCGCCAACTTGCAGCGATGATTGACCAAGAGTCAGAGCATCAGGCACAGATATCATCATCACCCTCGTCACCATCCCATGACAATGATAGCAGTGAAGAACAACAGCAAGGAGGTAGTACCTATCGGCTCACTGATCACCAGCAGCCTCCTGTGTCTGCCCGTGAGCAATTGGTGAAGGCAAGGAGTGTGCTGTCAGGTCCAACAAGGGAGGCACGGCGAAAATCCATCGACCGGCATCCCACTGAGCATGAGGGAATTCCCCCGCGGCCCAAGACACGATTGCTGGAACATAGCAGTGAGGATGGGAAAGCTGGGTATCCCGGAAGGCCAGCAGCAGCACACCCTGCAAGGAGTATACCCGCCTATCAAGGCAATGCTGCTCAACAAGGCCACGACGCGCGCCAGCGAGTCACTCGGCGCAACACGCCGCTACCACCGCGAGGTTTACAAGAATGGCAGGGAATGGATTATGTCGACGCGAAGCTGGGACAGACGGCAATCGCCAAAGTGCGTCAGCATGCTGCTGAGCCCATGACCGGCAAGGATGTCGCTGCCTCGTTTCCCAGCAATGGCAACACCATGCATAGACCCAAGTTGACCGCTCCACTGGGAAAACATCAGCCGGTCGAATCCAGTGATACCAGTCAAGGTGAAACTGCACATCCACCCACTTGCCGGAAAGCAGCTGCTAGCTTGCAATCTCGCCACACACAGTCCAAGCCTGGAGGTCATGTGATCCCACAGGTTCCGTCCAGTGGTAAGTTAATTGGCATGGTTACGTTTCGGGTTGTCACGGTGAGAGCCATTCATGGTATCAACTATCAAGTAGTATGCCTGTATAACGGTTTTCAAGTAATACTGCCACTGTAGGGTTTTGTTGTCTTGCTCCTGACGATGTCTCCCCTAACTTGCCTGGCCCTGTTGTTGCTCCGGCCCGACTTATTTTGTATTTGGAATTCTCATGGAAATCAGGCCTGCAAGCAGAATGGGGGTTGGCGGGATGGCTGAGTCATTATTGTATAGCCTATAGGGCTTGAAAGTGCGTTGTCATGACTCCTAGGTGGGGGTCATGACAACGGTGACTTTTGGATCCAGTGTTTGCATGGATCCGTAAACGTGTGGGTGATTTCCTTCACAGCAGAGTGACACTGACGGTGCACCCACCCGCCAGTACTGTAGTGTATTGGGTGCTCTCCTGGCCAGAGACCCGCTGCTTGTGTACTGAATCACTCGCATGACGCACGCGGGTCCCGCCGTACACGATACTCTGGCAGTATTTTGCTGACTTCTGATGTCATCCCCGTCAAGCCGCAGCAGTAATAGCCCGGGCCATAACCAAGGCTTAGAGTATGTAGCTTTGCTTGTGGGTCAGTGTGCGGCGCACTGCCTTTGTTGCATAACCTGCCTGCAGCACACCCTGCACTCGTGTACTCACACCCATGATCTCTCGTTCCAACAAAACCGTTTTTGCTCGACTCGTTCGAGAATGTACCTGATATTCAAGTGGCGGGTGCATAAACTTCGGTTCCTTACGGAATTTTCTTTCAAACCACATCGATTGTGTGGTGTGTGATTTTCCGCAGTGCGTAGATGGTAGCTCCATGATGATATGCTGAAGGCTGCGCACTGCGCATCCGGCCGATAGAAAAGAGATCACAGTTGCATACACTCGCTTATGGACTCTTGGCAACGTGCAGCTGTGGGTGAAGCTTGCAGAGCTTCTCATTAGCGGCAGCCAGCCTGTAAAAGTATGGGTGAGTCATACGCTCTACTTTGAACTGTGCGTGCTTGTTTTAACCAGATGTGGAGAGTGAAGTGAGCACGCTTACAGATGACACGCTGTCACATCGCATTCCCGGCTCTTCTTCGCGCCACCGGTAAGATGCTGTGACCATTGAAGGTGTGTGTGTGTGTGTGTGTGTGTGTGTGTGTGCTTGGATTAGCGAGTTAGAACGCCCTAAACCATACATACTCGGGGATTGATCGCCTGATCAGCTGGAACCTGATGATTGCAAAGTGGAGATCAGCCAGTGAAATAAGTACTCCAAGGATACAATAATGACCCCCTCTCTCTCCATTATCTGTCACAAGCATGTGCAGATAGTCATGTTGATCTGACTCCCATAGAACATGTTATGCTAGATAGTTGTCAAATCTTTTCCCATGCATGGGTTCTAACCGCGTAGTTCTGGAATGGAGGCCGGTCTAAGCTCTCGTTGCAATGCACACTGGCATGAAAACACGTACATTTTGCGACTGTCTGTGTTGTCTACATGCACTCCGTATAGATCACAGAGGCAGCGCACAGACGTTGAACATCGCCAGCCATCACACATGCAGCACGCTGCATTGCCTCTTTGGGAGCATGAGCCGGTCGTGAGTAGAGACCCAGCGCCGGAACTATCCCAAACGCACCAGGAAATGCAGGAAGTGCGACAACGCTTGCACGCCCGAGATTTGGCTGAACAGCAGGAGTATGCCAAACTGAAAAGCAAAGTGTGCGATCAGCTTCACCTCGAGTGGAACAACGGCAGGGCCCCGCCAGCCAGCAGCGGAAAGCCCAGGGCATTGCCACCACTGGAGCCTCGGCCTCGAGCAGCAAAACCGGCCCATCTTCGTGCTCCGCCTGTTGACGTTGGAGTCGACAATGAGTCGGAACTCAGCTCTGGGCCTGTGGCAGGTGAAGTCAGTGATCAGGATACTGCTAAGCAACAGCAGCCTGAGCTCTTAGAGCAAGCACCAGCACCAACCTCTCTGAATGCAACTACGCTTGAGCGACATGAAGCTTACCAGCGAAAGCAAGCCCAAGCTCAAGCTGCACTGGATCCCACCGCAGTCGAGCAGGAAAAACAGCAACAGCAGGATGTCCAAACCCGATCGTTTGATGAGCCGGCCGGCAAAACCATTGTGAAGAATGGGAGTATCGTGAGGACCGTCCACTATGAGCCGCACACCGACACTCAAATGCGGAAGACGATCACCGAGACGGACAACGCCAGCGGCAACACGCTGAGCATGCATGTTGTCCTGCAGGAGCTCGGCGATGACGCTCCACATTACCACACAACGGACTACAGGTACCGTGGCTCCGAGGCTAGCTATCATGGCCAGCGTCCTGTCAGAGATCATTCCTACATGTACTCTCAAACAAACGGATTTGGTGCTCATGAGCCAGCCACCACCTCAAGCTCGGCTTCTCTACGACAGGCCAGTGCGTCTAGGAATCCTACACGAGTACAGCAGCTGAGCAGTGCTATGCATACAGATCCAAGCACTGCCGACAGCAGCAGTCGTTTGAACAAAATAGCCACGGGGTCAACTTTGGCAACGGCAGCAGCAGCGCGTGAAGCGGCCAGGGCAGCAGATCCACCGGTGATGTGGCTGCCAAAGCGTCAGCACCATGGATTCAACATGAGTGGCACGCGCGTGAAGGACTGTACAGTAAGTCTGCTGGTACATGTATAGCGGGTTTGCATCCCTGCCATTCCCTGATCTACGTGTGCTGTGTGCTCTTGACCTTTTCCGGCCACTAAGCTGACCCACGGCCGTATTGTGAACTATCCAGTAAGAAAGTGTCTGGCCGCGTATTGGTGGTACAGAGAACATGTAGGCGGCTTGTGAATGATTATGCATCTGCATATGTGTGTGTAGATGCATGCATGGGGTGAGAATATGAGCTCTGTACTTGTCGTCCAAACCCCTGTGCAGGGCTGGCTGAACCTAACCTGAACAAGTAGGAAGTGCACCTCCATTTCCAGACACTTGTTCGACCTATACTGATAATTTGTCTTTTCTGTAGAGTGCTTTGATACTTGTGACTATAGCAATTGTTGCTACTAGCATTATTGGCTTTACTGTTATCATTGCACGCTTTGCAGGAGCAAATGGAGCGTGTCAGTGAGTACTTCGGAAAACATGGTGCGGAGACCAGCCAGCAGCCGGCATTGCAGGACATGAACGATTTCCAGACCATGACGGGATCAACAGGGCAGCCCATATCCAGCAGTAGGTCAGCCTACGAAGAGAGGTAAGTTGGAAGTTTTTGCCGCTGAATGTGCACATGTTTAGAACTCGCATGGTCAGATCCAGAGTAATATCCACTTTTTCCTTAATTAAACAAAACAAAAAAAGGCGGCTTTGGTTTAGTCCCTGGGTAGAAGAGACCATTTCCTGAGATGGACTGCATCACTGGTCGCATACATTTCTATTCCAGAATGCAATCCAATACCTTCCATATAGAAAGCACTCCTCGTACTCGGCATGCTCACTTGGTGGCATCAGATGTCATGGCTGATGGTCTTGGTCAGTGAATTAGTAGGAGAAGACCGGCTGTAGGACTGACGCTAGCACGAACCCGCTGTCACATTCATGCAGGCCCGGTGGAACCGGTCTGGTTGGTCGGGCCATGGCCAGACCAACTTGTTGACCGCCAACGTGTGTTTACTGCTGGTTAGGTCATGTGTGAGCACCATATCATACACAAACTGTGTGAAAGGCTAGGGCATGGCCAGACCATTCAAAACTGCTTCCGCCGGTCATGTCATGCAGGAAATTACACCCAGCTGCTTTGTGGAGGTGGTCAGCTTCGATTAAACACACCGTTGACTCAATGTGCTTTCAGGAGCTCCTCGTATCAAACACCGCAGCAGCAGCATGCGAATGGGAGGCCGTTCTTCTCTGCAACAAGCGTGGGGTCACGAGGTCGCCGGTATGCCGGTACTGGTGACCAGAGAAGTCGCCCCCTGAAAGGTGGTACTGGCACGGTGCGGAATACCGGCAGCAAGGTCGGCGATGCCAGTGGCAAGTTTGTTGCACCCAAGCAGCGCACAGCAGGTGGATCCAACGTTCCTCTCTTTTCAGGTACGTATGCGCTGAGCACACCTCGCATAGCTGAAGTGTTGCTACTGGTTGTGTGGTGCCTTCCTGAATGGGATGGATTGGTAGTCATGGGGACAAAAATGAATCCAGCACACCTATTTTAACCAGCACTGAGGACAAAAAGAACGTGACAAAAGCAACTGTTTTGATGAAAGACAAAACTGACATTGATACCGGTATGAGTGCGTAGAAAGTACAAAACTGACATTGATACCGGTATGAGTGCGTAGAAAGTACTTACATGACAGTTATTGTACTTTGATGCAAAAATAAAGATAGACAGTGTCAGTCGGTGCAGTTACCGGTATGCTCAGTACTAGTAGCCAAACAACCAGTGTGCATTGGCGGCGGAAGCTTTAAATGATTCTTCGAAGTACAAAGCTATATTGTTGGTTGTCATGGATCTGGGAAACATTACACATTGATTTTTCATATCTGTCCGCCCTGTGAGAAAGAGTGCAAAGTTGCCTGCCACTTTTCTGTTGATGAATCAGGTGTGGTAGCGTACACGGATCCGTCAAACAAATCCAACCGACAGCTGATTCGCAATTCCATAAAGCATGTGTGTCTGGCTGGCTTGACGAACCAGAAGCGCTGTACAGAAGTACTTGAGGTAAGCATTCGTGGCTGTAGTATTTGCTTGTTATGCATGCTTGGGATTATCTGATTCGCAATAGGTCTGTAGTTTCCTCTTGCACGTGGCAGTTTTCTTGACTATAATCAAATGGCCAGGCGTAATAAGCTCATCACGTCAGACTTTTTTTTTGAGTTGCTGTCATTTTGGACATTTTGAGCTTAGGAAGTAGACATGCAGGTCGACCTTTTGACCAAGGACATTGAGGCAAGCAAGAAATCCTACCAAGGATATCCTTTGTCGGTCATGATGGCTCGGATCTTGCCCTTGAATGCATCCCTCGGGGTCTATGATCCTTGGGCTGAATCCCGGGCAGGATTCAGCTACATGTACCATATTTTCCGGGGTATGTTAACCGCACCGGGGTCTAACTTAGCTCCCCCCCCCCCCTTTCGGGTCCGAAATTCGAATTTTTGTTGATATTCGGTGTATCCCACATGTCAGACTTTGACTTTTTAATGGGGTGTTGGTACATACAGGTACTGGACGTTACCAATGATAAAAAAAGAGTTGAGAAGCTACGAAAGTTGCCTAGTTTGTCCTTCACCGGCTCAGAGCTGACACCATGTAGAACTCTCGCACTACTTGAGTAGTACAATGATGGATTGCAGTACACGCGAAATAGCTGAATGACATCATACATGATGCATTTTATGCATGCAGTACTGCAGTGCTGGTCGATTCACATCCTGTGTTCGGAGTCTAGGCCACCGGGGCTATTGTTGAGTTGTTTTGTGCTGTTTAAAATGCGGCAAACACCCCAGAAAATACGGTATATGGCACGCCTTGCTTGCCATCAGAACATGTACTCTACAGCACTGGCATACCGTGTTTGGCATGGTAAGGCTGCACGCATTTGGTGAACCATGAATGAGTGTTGGCAGTAGCATTCATGTCGGTGTTTGCTGGTTTTGTACCCCAGACTCTAGAATACAGCCTGTGTAAGCACTTCCTTGTTCTGGTGAGAGAAGTGCCCGGCTGCCAGTTCCGTGCGCTATATGAGGTGGACCAAGGTTGGAAGGTGAGTGTGCAGTCTGCAGTGCATGGGTGACAAGCTCTAGGTCTGTGAACTGTTGAGGCTGCAGAAGCTGATCGGTCTGAATTCTACGCACTCTGCTTCGATAGTGCGGATGAGCATTCTTGACACTGAGAGTCTTGCCTGGTGGACGGGAAGAAAGTGATATTTTACTGGGATATGTAATATTCATCTTCCTTGACAACACCAATTGATATGCATGTACAAGTATCAGTTATAGTGTTGTTTCTCTATCCTTTGGTCAAATGTGTACATTTTAGATCCGCAAATTAGTGGGACGAGGGCCACTTGAAGTCCAAGTCAACATGATCGACAAGCTGTACAAGTAAGTACTAGTACACTACCGTATTTCCCCGTAAGTTAGTACGTACTAACTTTCGAACTTAGCAGCCACATGAGTACTAACTTTCGGGGGTGGTACTATCTTTCGGGGAGTACTTTTTTTAATAACACGCAGTGGGAAGCCTGCGCAACTCTAGTGTCCGTGCATATGATGTATGTACTGTACGGTGTCTGTACATGTAGGACGGGTACGAACTTACAATCTTTGGGGGGAACTGTCTTTCGGGGTGATAACCTCAGCAGTGGAAAGTGTATTTTTTATAGGGGGTACTAAGTCATTGGGGAGAACTTACTTACGAGGAAATACGGTAGTTGATCTCCCACTGCCCGGCCCACAGTCTCCATGGCGATCGCTCCTTCATGCAACGCATACAATATTCATCGCGCCGAGAAATGCAATAGTAGCAGAAGTAGTCACGCATGTGCCTGGCCTCTACGTCATTGGTTGGGGTTGATACCATGCCGCATTTGGTAATGTACTTGAAGTAGCAAGCAGAAGTCGTTTATTGAGGTGTCCGGGGTGTCCGGGGTTTATGCTGCAGTATCACAGCGTTTCACTTGTGTCTCCATGCAAACTACTCGTATCTCTCTTCGCGATAATTTCTGTCTCGCTTCCGCTAACTAGCGTGTATGCTATGTGTTTTCTCGGCAGATACAACTCTGGTGCAAAGGCATTTGCACTCATCGAAAGCCGCACTCTATCAGCCAGCATAGATGCATTCTCTCTCAACGCTGTCTTCTGGAAAGGCAAAGCCCCAACATGAACGCCGGAGTTGAATACGAAACAAGCCCAGGGTGGATAACTTCTCTTTCAATGGTGCACCTCTCCCTGAGATTTCATATTGGAGTAGAACTGAACTGTTATCAAATTGGCCGTTGAATGTCCAAACGAGGCCCATTGCTTATCCATGTTCCTTGACCCAACCTGAATTGAAATCAGTACAATGCAATGCATGTAGTCACTTGAGCACACCTCTGCATTTATACGTACATAAAACCTACTCCAGCAGACCTCCGGCATCAACAAGTAGATGCTCATGACTACAGCATTGCCACATGCAAGCTTCGTCTGCGCTACCGTATAGTATACCCATCCAATCCTGACGGTTACACAGAAAGATGTCATCAGTGCTTCCCTATGAGCTGTGCATGTGTCTGAACGATTGATACAGATTTTGTGGATTCAGTCAAGTGAGTTACCGGCGTACATGACTTGTGCTCTCGGATAGAGCTGAATAGGGCAGTGTGCGGCTAACGTTATCTGCTGTCCGCACAGGATACCGCGATTCCACGGACGCGCAATTTTCCGTGTTATTGGCCGTCATCTGCGTTATCGACAAAATTTGCATAAAACCCGCGTTACCCATGGGAATGTACAAGAAAACTACAACGTCGTACCTGCGCTAGCTGCCCATGAGTTTGTACGACACAGTTGTATACTTGTATGAAACTCAGTGTATCCTAAATGTGCACCAATGACGGACAGCTCGTTCACAATGACCGCATTATACTGCATATTTGCCGCATAGTGGCCTGTTTTCGCCCGCATAATTATGCGCATCATTTTAGGATTTTGTCCGCGTTATTCTGGGGACAGCATCTGGCCAGTATGTCATGTGTTGGTGCTGGGAAAGCAAATTGCTTGCAGAACACGAGAACGTGCACAACCTTGGTAAGCATTGCCAAGCAACCACCGTTCACTGCATTGCACTACATGAATTATGTAGCCGGTCCAGGCCAGACTGTACCTGGAATCACACTGCCGACATCAGCACATTGTTACGCCGGTACCAAACTCCAGTCAGAAAGGCACAACTGCTGGCCTTGGGCTATGTGCTATGTGCGGTGCTCTGTGAGCATGCCAAGCACAATTGATCAAATTCTAAAGGGCAAAAAAGAATGATGTGTTCAAATCAGATTTAATAGCAGAGAACAAACACAGAAAAAGTAGTCAAGTGATGATTATCACGCACATAGAAACATAACAAACAATACGGTTTAATATGCACTAAATTAGACTTAGTGGTGTACACGTGAAGAGGTGTGATCATCATGCAGTGTGATACGCATTGTTATCACCACCACTAGGCACTGCACCAGGGAGTAGTACAGCACAACAGTAGTACAGTACTACCGTTCCTGGTGATAACAACAGACAGCAAACTGAACTGAGCTAACGATGTTCAATGTTACCAAGAGTACATGTATAACTCCATATACATGTATACGTATAGATTATAGACCGGTTAGGAGGTCTATACAGGATATATAGACCGAGTAAAAGACCGAGGTCCCCCGAGGTCTTTTACGAGGTCTATATATCCTGTATAGACCAACTATGAGGTCTATAATCTATTTATCGTGTTCTCCACGCAATAGTTTCTCTTCATATGACATATCCTTGTAATTCTAGTATTATACTATAGCCTATACCGCATTGTACTGCATTGAAGGTCAAGATCATTGTTTAAACTAGGTTCAGCATCGGTAGCACAGTGGCTGGGTGGTAAGGAAGAGTGACTGAGATTCACAAGGTTGTGGGTTCAAATCCCATCTTGTGTATTTCTGCTTTCTTCAAAAATTTCTTTTTCTAAGTTTAGGGTTCACGGCTTGCCACTAAAAGCACCCGTCACGTGCGCCTCCATTTTGGATTATGGACGCGCGCTACAGGCCGCGACAGCGCCTATCGAAGTAAAAAAATATCGACTCGAAGTCTAGCCGGAGAGCGTACTTTTTGAATTTTTCCTTGGCTTCAGTGGCTTCACTTCACTCGGGCTTTGCATTTTTCTGACTGACCTGGACTTGATGATGGCGGCGGTGGCGGTCTTGGCGAAAGATCCAGTTCCATCTGAGACACTCTGTCGTCTTTTCTTATCTGCTGAGGTTCTGGCAAAGCGCAGCTGCATCGAACCTGACTAGATGTAGCTGCACGCATCCTTTGTTTGCCCTGCAAATCTCGATCTGTTGCTCTTCTTGCTGTTTGGCCGCTGATGCCATGGAAGAAAATATTCTTCCTGTAAAGAGGCCGAAACTGAGCTAGGGCACGTCAAGATATGTAGGGTATACAAAGAAAAAGAAATGTCATGGTCGTTTCAGCAGCTCACGACAGCCAACACGCTCCATCGTCGGGATTGGAAGTATCCAGCACGGCTGTTCCGAGCGCTGCTGCTCTTGTTATTCTTCTTCTTCAGAAATTCTCCACACCTTGTCGGCCAAAGTACGCGCGCGCGTGCACGGAAAATAGATGCGCTGAGCCGTTTCTTGTTCGATTTTGACAAATAATGGCTTGTTGTTTTGCTCTCGACCTTGGCTATCCTTCTACCGTTCAGTATTTTACGGAAACGCAACGGTTCCCCCTGTTTTTTTAGCCGAACTTTGGCCAAAGTTACTGGAAAACCCGGAACTCGTTTGAAAAAATACGAACGGTGGAAGTCTTGGAACGTCTTTCGTGCGTGTGGATTCAAAAATTCAGGCAGTTTGAGCCAACCGTAATGAATCCCGTAGAGTTGAAAGTGAGTGATATTGATGGGAAAATGCGATTTGAGCACTGACCGATTGTGTGGGACAGTATATGCACGCGCCTGTCACGTGCATGATGTAGCTGGCGACGCTAGCATGCCAATCCGTGAACCCTAAAGTTGGAGAGAAAATTTCTAAGTCCAAGAAGTTCTAAGGAGTCAAATATAAGTAGTCAAATATATCGTGTATTTGACTAAGCAGTCAAATACGCGATATATTTGACCGCTTAGGTATCAGGGAAATTAGTGGGGTCAAATACTAAGAAGGCGATAATTGATGTTATCACTCTTCTATATCGACCTCCACTAATTCTCGTGATCCTTGACTGGTCCTATATTACCCATATCGCCGCAATATCGACCGCTTATATCGACCGCTTGTATCGACCACTTAGGCATTGTAATCTTTCGACTTTGGAGGGACTTAGAATTTTTCTCTCCACTTCAAAAAGAAAAATTGAAAGAAAGAAGACAACGGAAGAGAACAAGCAGGATTTGAACTCACAACAGTATGAATCTCAAGCAACCCCTTATACCACCCAGCCACTGTGCTGCAGATGCTGAACTCTGTTGTTCTTACAATCTTGTACCCAAAATAGGCAACATCCTATGTACACTATAGTACAAATGCTATACTAAAAATGTTAAAATAGCTCCTAAAGGTTCAAATTTTGGGGTTATGGCAAAGGAATCGTGATAAATAGGATATTGACCTCGACTTCGGTCTATATGGGAAATATAGGCCTCGTAAAAGACCTCGGCGGACCTCGGTCTTTTACTCGGCCTATATTTCCCATATAGACCTCGTCTTGGTCAATATCCTATACTTACCTACAAGCCTGAGCGTGAATGTGTTCAGTATCTTCTTGCATTATAAAATTTAATATTATAAATTTTAGGTTTGTCTGGTGTGATTGTAGACTCACTGAAACGCAGAGCACACCTCTTCACA